TACAGATGACTGTGTGTTTTCCCTTGGAAATGTAAACATCTGCATACCAAATTCAAGCCTCCAGATTTCAGTTACCTTATAGACTTCTTAAATGCTGTCCATGGACTGTGAGGTGAAGGCCAGTGCTTGAGAGGGATCCTCATGCAGAACCCAGCAGGACAGCTCTAACTTCAGACCTTTGTTAAGTTACCTTTTTGCTGTTGAGGTACGTTCAGCTCTTCTCACTCTTTCAACATTCTCAGTTCAGAGGTCTCTGAACTTTCAATTTCCTGTCTTCAGGAAACTTGAGAGGTACCCACACTTTGTTCTCACAAACGGCAAATGATTGATCTGCAGCACTTGGCCCCAAGGAGGTTAATTAGCTTTACAAATGAAGAGGATGCAAAAGGCTACAAATTATAACTGTGTCCATGTTTCAAAAACATACCCTACTTCAGTAGCAAAACTAGGCGTAGACTCTAGTTCTTTGGTGTCACGATTTCTTTTCTTGCAGTTTTTTTTTCCATTCATTACACAGACACTACATGAAATCGAAATGTTTGTTGGACCAAGTTACTACATCTCTCTAGTACTTTGGTGTTCTACTATACAGAAACAAGAAACCATGCACACAAATTTAATCTGTTGTACCTGAAGGACGATTGAACAGGTACCTATCTTGTAGTTAAGGAAGTGTACAGAGCAATTTCATTCTATGTTCTGAAACTGCACTAGTAAACTTGGGCAGCTTTCAGGTACATTACCTGCAAAATACCAGAAGAAAATCCTAAACATGATATATATCCTTTAGTTGATATAAAGATGATAAAATAATCAATAAAAATATAGAAGACAGACAGAATCTCATAATTATATTCTATATTAGGAAGAAAGTTGGATGATGTAGACACATCCATGAGGTAATGAAATATTACCTATTGCCAATGAGATTTAGGAAGATGTTTAGTTCTACCCATTAAATAAAACATCCTAGAAGTTGCATAGCTAGAAACTGACAATCAGTAATTTGAAAAGAATTCTCTGGTAAGCAGATGGAAGAAGTGGGCTTTCTTTTCCAAACAACTCTGAAGTTCTGAATGTGTTCCAGACCAGCCAATATTTTGACTTAAAAAGTATTTGCAAATCAAGTGGGCTCATCCAGGTTGCTCTAAGGCAGTTAACCTAACACTGATGTGGCAAAATCACAGTGGCATTGACGGGGCTTGCACTCAGCTAAGGAAAGAAACGCGCTGCTGTTTGCTTTAATTTGAAGGAAAAGACCTGATTAAAAGAACTGGATGTCTTTGTATGGCAGTCTAAGTTTGGTGGCTCAAGATAGCCACATCTAGGCCTAATGTAGCAAGACTTTAGCCAAACACTGCACAGCTGGGTCGCTGAAAGGGAAAAGAAAGGCAACAGATAAGAACTACGTGATGGAGCCAAGCCTTATGGTGAGACACCTCAACCAGCTCAATTTAATTCAGCTATTTGGAAAGATGAATACAGTAACATGATCATGGTCTGTAATTCATTACATAAGAAGAAAGACTTCTTATAGCAGAAGACTTCAATGTACTCAACAAAGGCATAGCAAGACCCTATGGATTAAAATGAAAAAAAGTAGTAACATAGAGTGGCAGTTTCAATGGCAGTGATAACTAACAAAAAAACTGTAATAAAGGACATGGTTGATTAACCATAAGGCTTTAAATTATAAAAGTCTTAAATCTTTCTTGAAGATTTAACTGAATTATAGACCAGCAATACTATCATTAGTCACAGCTGAGATTCTGTTACTGTTTGTGGGTGACTTTTCTAAATGATTTCCAGCCTACATGATTTTCCTTTTAAAGCAATGATAATTTGTAAAATCCAACTAAGAACAGAAAATCAGCTTGGAAAAGGACAAGAAGAAAAAGTGCTATTGCCTTTCAGCAAAGATACAAGATGCAACGTAATACAAAACTCCAGAGTCACTGTCAAGTCTTCTTGGGTACAACATATAAAAACAAATGGATTTGCAGCACAATGAAAATGCAGAGTCAAAGATTTTGTGGAGCTGAAGAAGGACCATGGGATCTTCTTAAGAGAATATTCCACTCTTGTGAGTGGGAGGTAAATAATTGAACCGTTGTTGGCTTGAGTGCACAAAGCTGCAGACTGCAGAACCTCAGGCTTCATCTAAAGAGGGAAGAATTTGGTACAAGTTGATACATTTTGTGTCTCGCAGGTAGCTACTGCATTTTTTAAACCATCTGAAGCACTTTGAATATTTTAAACAACCATGGAAATCCAAAGAGGAAGACCTAATCCAAACAAAGTAATTAACAGAGATAATGAGGTTAAGGTATCTTCAGTTATTTCCACATCAGCAAGAGGCCTGGGTAAACAGAGAAATTCTCCTTGATAAGAAAAAAAAGGAGGCCTGGAATAAAGTGGCATTTCTGAAGCTCAATGGGAAAGTCCCTTAGTAAGAAATAATTAGTTTCTTCCTGGGCAACAGTAAAAGCTATAGGCTCAGCAGCAAACGGCACAAACACGAACAATAACACCTTTGAAATGACTGGTAACAGGAATTGTACAGCCTCAAATACACATGGATGCCCATGCTACGTATCAGATTCCAAGAAGGGAAAGGGTAGCAGACATCAGGAAACAACACCTCAAACCAGGGACCAGGAAAGGCGATTTCAAGCACCTTTAACATATAAAACGAAAAATCATTGCAAAAAATTTTAACTTGTGAGCCATTCCCCAGGGAATTTAATCAGTCAGCAAGGTATTACTCTGACTTTTAAAGTGTCCCCAGCATACTTAAAGACACTGTACCCAAACCAAGTAATTTTTCAGACTTCAAGATGATGCATTCAAGATGAGAGAACAACTTGAGTGAAGCTGGCAGTTTTGTCCTGTCCATGTGGAACATGCAGAGGAGAGCCACAAGTAGTAATAAACCTGTGCTAAGTCTGGTAACTTCCAAGGGGAGCAAAACTATAAACTGAGCTGTCCATGGGAATAAAAGAAAGAAGGCAGAGGAATATGAATTAAATTCTCCTGTAAGAAGAAATATAACAGATGGAAAAGGTGAAGGCCAGACAGCAACCAACATAAATTAGACACTATAAAAATAGAGAAAACTCTTAAGAAAAGCTTTGTGACTAGAAAAAGTGGTAAAAGGAAAGGAATATTTTGCTCTTTCATTCCTTTCAATCACAAAATAAAGAAAGAAACTTTACTAATAGCAGTGATCTATGATAGATAAAAATAGTGAAAATGCTAGTGACATGGAACAGGAGAAACCAGTCAAGAAATACTTCCAATTCCATCTAAAGAAAGGAACAGAATGTAGCAGTCATACGAAAATAGCAACTTCTATCTAGTACCATAGTATCAAAGTAGGAGATGAGACAACACCTACTAGGGATGTATATTTTGAAATCAGCAAAGAAACAGGAGGCCTGAAAAAGTTAGTAACTAGCTCTCTAGCCCAGTGATTCTGATCTTTAAATTAAACTTGGGATATTAGACAAATACCTTAAGACACTCATGACAGTACTTCCAAAAGACAAATGAAATGACTCAATGACAAAATTATGGAAAAACTGTATACACGAAGAATTAATGAACAAAAAAATAACACCTGTGACACAAAGGTTTTACGAAATACAGATTCTGTAGTAAAAAAAAAAAAAAGAAAAAACCCAAACCCTAACTTCATTCTTATACATTTGGTTTAACAGTTTAACAAAGGGGACTGCATAGGTGCAACATACTTAAATTTTTATAAGGCATTGACCTAGCACCATAAGTCAGAAAGATGAACTGTACATAATCAGATACTAAGAGGATTAAGAAATGCTCAGCCTGCAAGTCTCAAAAAAAAAGCTAATGAGAAGTTGCACTCAATGCTTTTCAAGTTAGCGTAGGTCAAATGCAGTATTGCATTTCAACCTGGATCTGAAAGGAAAAATAACAACTGATAGTTTGCGGGTGACAGAGCTACGAAAGCTGTGAGTAACCTGGTCCACCAGTCAGCCAGGTCCATTCACACAGGCTGGACTTGGACACAGCCCCACGTGAAGAGCCAAGAAACAAGAACCCAGAGCATACCTGTAGAGAAGGGAAAACACTGTCATGGAAAGCCAAGACTTTGGATGATCAGACTTGACCAGACAAGCAGCCACTGTGAGCTCCTCTATAATGTTCTGAGAAGAGGGAAAATGCAATCCCCTGCAGAATTAAGGCAAAGAGCCAGGGGGACCTCATCCATGGCACTGGGGCTTCAACACTCAATTCCAAAATGAATGTGTTTATAATATAGAGAAAAAATTGACAAGATGTAGAAAGAAAAATAAGAATAATTCAAGGGCTGGAAGAAATCCCTTACAGTGGAAGATTTACAGAGCTCTATCTGTTTACCTTGTCAAAAAGTAGATTGAGAAGACACATTAGAGTGTTAAATTCAAGTCTGGGGGAAAAAGTCCCATTCAGGCTCTCTGAATCAAAGAGATGAATGTTTCCAGAACTAGGAACCAGAAGCCAAAGCAAGGAGAAATCTGGCTTAAATGTTAAAACAGTGAAAACATGAAGCCGTTGCAGCAGGCTACCAATGGATTTTGTGTCCCAGTGTCTCAAAATCAAATCAATGCATTTTGTCAACACCGTTCAAATACTCATCAGTTCTTGGGGCTCAGTAAAGTCTAAATGGATTGAAATGTCACCTGTGAAATTCAGGAGTCAAACCAGAAAGCTCCTTCTAGCCTAGCCTATGCACCTACCAAACACTCCACCCATTTGCAGCCCTGACTGAACACAGAGAACAGGTTTCTGCCGCAGGCTCCCCAGGTGCCGAGCTCCTCGCTTCCCTTGTGCAAACTGCCAAGTGCCAAAGGCAGGGATGCGCCGCCCTCGCGCCTGCCCGCACGGCCCCTCCAGACTCGGGGCAGCCAGAGGCTCCTGCAGGGGTCGGGTGCGGGGGGAAGGAACACACGTCACAGGGGCAGGGTGCTCGCAGCAGCACCTTCAAGGAGCCTTTTACACCAATTTATTTCTATACAGGGTGGTTAAAAAAAAATAAAATAGAAGCCCCTATTGGTTGTTCGTACAGAAATCTGGGATTCTATAGGCTTTGGGTGGACGTCTGATTTTAAAACCCAACAACACATGCTTTTTCCCTTGCCTTCTCATTCTCTTCCAAGTCAGCCTCCATGATCCAAAGAAACTAGTAAGTAATACACAAGACTAGCAGTCATGTGGACCAATTAAAAAAAATAGAGGAAGGAGAATTGAAGACGAAGAGAAAGGGAAAAACAAACAAAGATTGAAAATAAAAATTCGCCAGGATAATGCGTTTTATAAACACAGAGATAGAAACAGTTACAGCAAGGACAGAGCGGGCCAGGGGTGGGGAATAGATATTTATATATATATATATATATAAATTCAAGGGGCCTTCAGTTTATTCTTGTTGGCTCCCCCTTCTCATTAGATTGGTCTCTCTGTGGGGATCTTCATCCCCTTCTCTCCACTGTCCACCTTTTGGGGATTCTCTCCCATGACCAAGGTCCAGAAGAGGCCACCACTGCCATGTGAGTCCAGCCCGTCTTGGCAAGAGGGAGCCTGGGAGAGCACACTGGCAAGAGATGAGCAGAAGCTAGCCTTTCCCTGCTTCCTGCCAGCCCCTTGAAAAGACCGGTCTATTCCTCCTCCTCCTCCTCCTCCTCCTCCTCTTCCTCCTCCTCCTCTTTCCCTTTGGGAAACTGGGGGCAGGACAGGTATGTGAGTATCAGAACTGCTGTCATTCAGCTTTTCAGGAAAGTGAGTAGAGAGAAGGGTGATGATTATTTTGGCAGTCTCTTACCCTCCCTCCAGTTGCTTTTTGGTTTGTTGTTGATGCCTGCAGGCTTTTCTGAGGTGGGGGGAAAAGCAGGAGGGAGAGGAGGAGGAGTACAAGCTGCTAGGATATAATCCACAACAGGCAGGAAGAGCAATGAACAGGAACCCACATTCCTATGGGGCTATTGTGCTGCTCAGACAGCTGTGAGAGAGAGGCAGCAGCCAGTTCAGACGGACTCCTCTCTACTGCTCTCCACCAGGGAAGGAGAAAGAATGCAATACTCCACAGCCCTTAGGCAGTGTAGGCACCTGTCCATCCCAGAGAACATGCCTCACCTCTCCCCCCTCCACTGGTCTCACCTTCCACTGGGGAGAAGGTTTCTCCCATCCAGTCCTTGGGGCAGGACGAGCGACCCCTCCTCCCTTTCACAAGCAGGAGGGACAGGAATGGATATTTCTCTCTTAGACACTCAAGGCAATCCTCAAAAAACCCCATCCAGATGTGAACCATGCCACATTCTTCCGTGGCCTGCTAAAAACACGTGTCCAAGCCCCTGTATATACAAGGGCCATCTCTCCATCCCATCCACCATGCGTGTCTCAACACGCAACCCCCGCTTCATACACATCCTACAGTGAGAGAGAAGGCAAAACAGGGGCCTTTCTTTGGGTTTCAAAGGAGGGGCTCTTGCATGAGGAAGTGATCCCAGCACAGGAAAGGGGCTCTTGCACAAGGAAGCATCCTCCTACCAGGCAGGCTGTTGCACAGAAGGAGCACCCCCTTGAGACAGGCTGTTGTGCAAGGGGCTGCCATGAACAGGGTTACACAGCCAGAAGAGGCTGCTGCAGGAGGAGAGGCCAGAAACTGTTGCACGAGGAGGGCCGCTGACCAAGCGGTGCCCCTGGCACAGGCTATGCACAAGAGGCGTTCTGCTCCCTGGGTTGAGGTCTCTCTAGGAGCTGGAGAGGTGCTCCACTTGGATGGCGCTGGTGCTGACAGTGAGGCAGATGTCCTTGTGATGCTCTGAAGTCTTGTAAGGAGTCAGGTCAAAGGAGCACTGGGGGGGAGGGTTGGGTTGATTAGTGTCTCCAGAAGGGCCCCCTGCTGCCCCCCCGCCCTGCGGCTGGAAGTGCTGCTGCTGCTGCGAGGCCTGGGCTTGTGCCTGAACCACCTGCTGCTGTGGGTCAGGGATGTTGTGTTTCCGCATGTGCTTCATCAGGTACGTCTCCTGCAACGGGAAGGACCGCGTGAGAGGAGGGAACGACGTTTGCAAGAGCCAAAGCCAAGAGGGAGGGACACGGCAACTCAGGGGACTGCTCCCACTGGATCTACAGGAGCTGCTCCCTGGAAAGTTGATCACTTCTGCTATCCTCAGGGCAGCAAACACTCACCGAGGTGTAGGCCCGGCTGCAGATGGAGCAGGTGTAGACCTTGGCGTGTTTCACCGTGTGCGTAGCCAGGTGTACCTCCAACGAGGCAGCATCCGTGTACGCACGGTGGCAGTTGTGGCACTTGAAAGGTTTGTCTTTGTTGTGCTGCCGTCTGTGGGACTGGGGGTCAGTAACAGGGAGGAAAGAGTAAGCGTGAGGAAGCAAGCATTAGTACTGGAGACGGCTTTATCTCAAACACCCCATTACAGCCAGGCCCCAAGCTCCTGGCTGCTGAGGAAGGTAAATCTGGCTCCTAGCACAGGGACAGAACTTCTCCCTCCAGCCCACCACACCGTCCCCACACATGCCCTTCCCACTCATGCATACTAGGCATCTGAAGAGCAGACTCCTAATGCTCCACAACCCCCATCTTCTGAGTTTTCATGCAACTCTCAGTCTTTTCCCAGTCTCTCCTTTTCTGGCCCCTGCATCTAATACCTTCAGGACAGGATTTGCTTTAACTGCTTGCAGGTGTTTACAGCTCTTTGCTCTTTGGCACACTCTACAGTCCCTCTCCTCCAGGGTACTGCAACAGGACACTCCACCTCTGCTTCCTATATCCCTACCCTTATGCCCTCCATTTCACTGTAAAACAAACAAAAAACCCACCAAGATACACAGACTTTATTGGGTGTAACATTTTGCAAAACTCTCACCCCAGCTAAGTTAGAAAACTGCAAAATAGTTGGGGGGAACTTCACTACAGTCTCACCACTTTCAAGTCAAGTTAATTTTACAGGATGCGACCAACTCATATGAGTTCTTTGGGCCACTAGTGCCAAAAGTCAGGAATCTCTTCCCTGTCCAGGGCTTCAATAGCTTTCTGTATTCTTTTACTGTCCTCCCAGCTGCCCCACTTCTTCCACCTTCCTCTACCACAGGCACCCTTGCCAACCCCTGCCAGCGGGCAGGACACACCCAGCCCCTTACCTGCAAGTTGGAAAGCTGGGTGAAAGCCTTTTCACACCCAGGGTGAGCACATTTGTAGGGTCGGTCCCCGGTGTGGATACTGTTGAGGAGGAAGAGCACAAATGGGAGGCAGTGAGCAGGCAGACAGGGCAGACTGCCAGGGCCTGCTTGCTGTGTGAAGGGGATGATGTTGCCTCCAGATGCTGTTCTAGCTGGACAAAGAGAGCTCTGCCCAGCTCCCACATCCAGTTAGAAGTTGAAGACAGGCAGTCAAGCAGATTTCAGAGTGACTGGGATTGAGGAGCAACATCTTATGAATGCCTGGACAGCTCAGCACGTGAGCTACCTAAAAATGTATTGGAAAGGGGTCTGGAGGTCCAGGCTCCCTGCTCCAATCTCAGGAGTTCCAAATGATCAAGAGGAATCTGTTCTCTTACTTCCACAGTACCAAGAAAGCAGCTTTGTTCCCTCCAGGATAGACACATCAAAGTTTTTCCTTTTAAGTAAACAGGCTGAGTTTACCTACAGTGTTAACCTGTCCCTGTCCCCCTGCAATGCCAGGAGCAGCTTCCACACACTCAGTCCAACCCCCGTGGTGCCAGGCTGGGATCCCCTACAGCCAATGCCTCTCTCTCTATTGCTCTCTCTCTGTGCCGCCCACGGTGCAAGACCAAGGATCCCCAGGGACAGCATGTGCCCACCTCAGCCCTGACGTGGTCAGTGTCTCCTGCGCAGCCTCCACTCCGTCCACTCGGGTGGGTCACCTCCTTCTGGGGGTGCAGCCGGCCGCATTCCCCGCCCGCCCCCCGCATGCTTGGCGCGCGTGCTCCAGAGGTGCATGCCGGCAGCGCGGGGGGACCAGGGCCAGGCCCCCAGCCTCCTCTGGCCCTTACCGTGTGTGCTGCTGCAGGTGGGAGAGCTGGCGGAAGGCCTTCTGGCAGTAGCGGCAGGTGTAGGGCTTGGCCCCCGAGTGGATGCGGAGGTGCTGGGCCAGGTAGGATGTGTTGGCGAAGCTCTTGGAGCAGTGAGGACACTTGTGCGGCTTGACAATCGCCGTGTGGAGCTTGGAGTGGATCCTGCCGAAGAGGAGGAGGAGCAGCAGCAGTTGGACATGACCGCCATCTGGCTAGTGCTGATGGAATGAGGGCACAAAGGGGGTGGGACAGCACCACGCTATCTGCTACATGAAGGAACTCCAAACACAGCATGAGCTCTCTTGGTCTCAAACTGTGCTCCCCTTGGATTCAAGAGACCATGGTCTGTCTGCACCGGGGGAGGATCCAGAGAGAGGAACTATAGAGCTTGGACTGAGGGGCATTGGCAGAGCTGTGTGTGGGAAGCCTGTGGCTGAAATAGCAGGGGGGCTGCAAGCCTGGACTTGAGATGTTTGGCAGAACTATGCTGGGGTGACAGGGAACAGTCCGCCTATGTCCGTTCTACTCTCGCACTGGCACAACCAGCCCTACCTCCTGTCAGAAAGCGTCACTCCGCTGCCGACGCCTCTCTGGCAGAGCAGCGCTAACCTGAGCGCACCCAGCCCCTCACAGCCAGGGACCAGTCTCACGTGTCCGATACCGCTACTGCCGGTCTGTCGTGCGTAAGACCTGACCAGCCTGTGACAACCAGCCAGGTCTGCCCAGGCAGTCGCCCGGTGAGGTGCTCACAGCATGCTGGGATGACGGCAACATGCAGTGCAGAGGGCCCCAGCCTCCTCTGGCCCTTACCGTGTGTGCTGCTGCAGGTGGGAGAGCTGGCGGAAGGCCTTCTGGCAGTAGCTGCACGTGTAGGGCTTGGCCCCTGAGTGGATACGAATGTGCTGGGCCAGGTAGGAGCTGTTGGCGAAGCTCTTGGAGCAGTGAGGACACTTGTGTGGCTTTGTCTCCGTATGGGACTTGGAGTGGATCTGCATCTCCGACTTGGAGTAGAAGGTCAGCGAACACATCCGGCACCTGGGACCGGGGCGAGGGGAAGAGACAGTGTCACACGGGGGTAAGCCCCAATATGGATCAAATCTAACTGGATGGGATCTTCCACACTGAGTGAAGAAGGGGCGTGGAACTAGGGAGGTTTCACCTGGGACACAGCTTGGCTGTGAGTGCTTCAGTCCCAGGGGAACAAATTTAAGCTGGGAACTGGTGTAACAGAACAATATTTCACAGCCAGAAAAGTGAAGGCATTGGAAGTTGTTGCAACTGGCTTGCAAGAGAGACAGGGCAACACACTGGAAATTTTCCAACAGCAATCCTAAGGGGATACGAATAAATCCCAGTCAAACCCCCCACTGATTTATTTCAGTCTAAAAAACCTTGGAAAACCTGGAAATCCCAGGTTATAGTTCATATTAGAAGCTAATTCCATGAACTGTGAAGTCTGTGAGAGCAGAAATGGCCAAATCCACTTAACTCTACTCCCATTTTTGGAGAAGACACTCAAATATTTAGAATACAAAATGCTGAGAATAACAGCAGTGCTGCTTTCCTAGTGGGCCTCACAAAGATACTCTGGATATAAATGTGGTATTTCGTTGGTCTAGTGGGCTTTCATCATTTCAGTCTTACTGATGTGATGCAAAATGTTTTGTCTGGGCGTTTGGATCCATCTGTTCCCATAATGATCAGAAATGTATTTGTTAACACACAGACTCTCTGAACAAGAAGAAGCAGTTGGCATTGCTCTGCTGCGGATGCTGCTGTTAAAAACTGCTCCTCCACTACAGCACCAGGCTGTTAAGAGAAGCTCATACTGTTTTACAGTTCAAGACTGCAAAAGCTTTTGTGGTTGTTAATTTGACAGAGAGATAGAAGCTACATCCAAGTTACTCACTTCTTCCCCACCCCACCATGTGTTTCAAACAAGGGGTAGAGTTAAGGTTTATCTGAATTTAGGTTTTTCATTTACATTAAAGACAAAATAGAATCTCCACATGTGACTTCCAGGGTCACATTTGAGAGAAGAAATGCCAGCCAGAGGAAGGCTGGTCAAAATGAATTCAACTTTCACAGTGGTTTTGTCTAGGAATTTCCTTGAGTTCTACAGTGTTTACAAAACTGCTCAGCAACAAAAGTCTCTGCAGGTATTACAAGCCACAGAGGTGATCCTGCTCTTCCCTATATCCATCTCCCCTCAGGAGGATACTTCATTACATCTACTGTTGTGACTCTGTTGGAGCCAGAAGCTTTATGATGTGTGCAGTCTGATCAGCGTATGTCATGTAAGCAGTATTTATCCAGCACCTACCTTAACTTCCACAGGCCCTTCCGAGCCACAGCTTGATTCCAAGCCATTTAGCTGGAAGCCACGCCTCCCTAGCAAGCACTCTAACACACACCTGTCATAACATTTCCCTCCTCTCCACCTTTGCTCTTTTACATTCATTAGCATCTCTAACAGTTGTTCCCACGTGTCCTACCTTCATCTTTCTCTTAATCCATTTTAATTGCAAGCCCTAACAGAACATGCACACTAAGTACATCCTTACATAAATCCCTTCTCATGCGCATACACACACACCATTCCCTGCTGGAATCAACAAACAGAAGCAATTTGGTTGTTTATCCCTACATCAATTAAAGCTATAAGGAGTAAAAAGGTACATCAGCATAATCTTTTTTTAAAAAAAAGTAGCTCTTGGTTTATAAACCAAACTATCTCGAGTCACACAGAGTTTGTTCCAGACTTCCTGAAATGCTAGACTTGAATAGAGCATATGTATTCTGCAGTAATTAAGTCAAACTTACATGATGAGGACTGTGTATCTTTGAAAGCACCAATGTTAGAAATAACTGAGGTGAACACTGAACTGAAAAATACCTTTGAGTTGCCAAGTCCAGTTCCCTGCTAATGCAAGCAATTACAGCATAATCCCATGCTTGACTTTTAGCAAGCTCCTTCTCAGCAGATGCTGACTTCCATTACTCTCAATTGAACCCCGTTCCACAGCACTGGCCCTCTGATAAGGAACCATTCAATTGAGAACAAGCTCCCAGTGTGATGCTGTGCTAATATGGCTCACCAAAACAAAGGGGAATAGCAGGTATCCTTCTTGTATACAGGATGGGAGCGACTGTTCTTGCCAACAGCATGTCTAATTCTGAAGTTCATGTCCTCAACAATTACTGAAAAACTCACACACAGGCTCAGCAAACCTAAAGAATGATGACATGTGGAAAATTGGCTTTGCAGGAAAGATTCACTGACTACACTCACTCTAGGTTTGGAGTAAAGCTTAAAAGATAACTTGGTCAATATCCAAATAAATCTATGTAGAGAGAAAAATATCAATTACTAGGGGTTTATTTTATGAACAAGTAAGATATAATGAGGAACAACAACTGACACCAGAACTGAAAAAGAGGAAACAGGCTTTTTCCAGCCGTGAGAATAATGCATCTTTGGAACAAGGCTTGGAGGCTACAATATGGTCTCAATCACTTGGCCCCTACAAACAGCATTCTGACAATCCAGGTACTTTCCTGAGAGAAATACCCTTCTAAGGGTTTTGCTCTAGTTTAAAGAGAATGCTGGGCACTAATCTCTTCTGTGCTGTACATAGGACTGTATATTTTAAGTAGTCTATTCTGTTCTGAAAAATTAATGAACTTTACCATGCCATCAAGTCTAAGTAGTCCCATGCATTAAATCTATAGTGCCACAAAGCCATCAACTTTATCTTCCATAACTTCTGTGCACCTTTTCCTTTACTTATTTGCTTTGCCAGGTATCTGCCTTAGGTTGGAAATTCTCTAAAATAAACTTTAATTAAGAGAAACAGACTGCATGTCCTCTTCTATTTTCAAAATAAAATTATAAAGAAGTTTTCAAAACATCACTGGCACTTGCATGAAAATGATAAACCTGATTATTAGCAAAAACAGGCCTCAACAACAATAACAAAAACCCCCAAAACCCTAACCTCCCCAAAATCAAAACAAAACCCTCAAACAAACCAAAGAACCCCTGTTGTCTGAATTTAGCAGCTATAGACATTCTGATATTGTTTTTCAAACAACATTTAGAATTAAAATCTTACAAGAACTCATTTTCTAATCATCTAATTAGCATCAACCCTCAGAGAGCAAGAATGTTATGCAGCATTAACAAATTCATGAGCCTTTTGAGGTAAAAAAAGCCGTGGAATATAACAAAAAGCTGCATTTCAGAATTTTATATTGTGTGGTATCAGGCTTTTTCACAGGAACAAATGATCCATTTAATTAAGGGCTTTGCATTCTGCCTCAGACAACATCAAATATTAAAGGGGAAGATGCAATCAGCCCTCTAGTGGGCAAATATGGATCCGAAAAAATGTTAAATCTATATGGCTAATGAGAATATCCCATCTGACACTAACTGCATTTCAGTATTCTACTTCAGTGAAATTCTGGCTGGGGAGAGGAAAAATAGGGAATGCTCCTTGCTAAGCATGAATGAAACACTATATGAAATAATTGATTTCTACCCCCCCTCTGTTTAATATCCATTTTTAATAGTCTTCCCACTGTGCTTCTAAACTACCCCTCCTTTGCCTACATCCTTTCTGACAGCAAGAAACAGAAATGACTGCAGCATTCCTATTGATGGTGTGACACAACATCCCCTGCAGCTGCTTGTTATAGCTCTGCAAATTCAGACAGCCTTGGAGAAAATATCCTTAATAAAACAAAGGTTCATATCAACAGTTAAATTAGCACTCAGCCATATGCCAGAGATCAAAAGTAACCCCTTCCAATGTTTACAATGCTTTCTTTTTTATAGGAAATGAACATAAGCAGAAAATGTTCATGTTAGACAGACACTCTCAAAAATAATGAAATGCCAGCAAAAGGTGGATGTACAATTCTAATTCTACTCCCATATGAAAGTCATCACAATGAGTCATAAAGAAAATGATGCCTATAGCAACTAGACTACAACTCTGTGGCTCACAGTGCCGTATTTTTTTCCACTTTCCATGGAATGTTCCGCCTCATTCATCAGATGCTGTTAGGAGATAAAATACCATCTGAAATACCAGCTCATAGTAAAATTTGCCCATCATGGATTAACATCCTTTTCCAATCAAGTGCTTAATTAATCAGTATCACAGTTGTTAAAACTATGTAAGCTTTTATATGGCTCTGAGAATTCGAATTCCTAGTATCTACTGAGAGTAGTCTTACAAGTTAATTGTAGCCTTCTGTTAGGCTACATATACAAGTTAGACCCTCAGTTAAACTAAAAATCAAACCAGGAAAGTCTGAAATTAGACTAGATGATAAGAGTAAGTTTAGGCTGTCAGAATCAGCAGCTCCTTTAAAAAGGAAGGAAATGTCCTGCCTTTGCAATGCAGAGTTAATGAAGTAACTAATGCAAGCACAGCATAATAATGGATGGACGGTTCATGATAAATGCTAACTTGACTCTCACATTCCCCCATTTTTTAAGTTGAAGTTAAACATTTTCTTATTAATATTTTGTAAGAGGAGGGAAAAGGAGACAAAACTAACATCCAAGATACACAGGTACACTTGGGCAACACCCAAATAAAGCCAGCGAGTATGAAGATGCCAGCACAAAATGAAGGCACAGGAATTGTACCTCTTCTTCCACACTGGCATATCCAGCATCAGCTCCTATTCAAAAGCCAATGCTGTGCTTCCACTGAACAGTTTACACTCCTGGAGTGTGTAACAAATCTATGCTCAGAGATCTTGGTCAACTTATTTCCACAGTCCTGCAGTCACCTGGTGGCTTGGTACAGCTGCAGAAAACACTCTTCATATACTGGCAAGGCAAAGAGCAGTTTAAAATGCTCTCATCATATGGCACTTTCCCTGTTCCCAGATTTGAGGGCATTCCTGCATTTTATCCATTTTTCCAAATGACCCTAAAAATATTTGACCCAGAATTTTGTGGTATTTTAGTATACTTCACAAGTTGCCTGTCTTCTTTTAATGACTCAATCATTTAT